CTAAAATCTAGTATTTTTAGCATCGCTCCTGTACTCTGATTTCTCAGAGGTTATCATTAGAAGTTTTGCAGTTTGGGGTCTTGATTCTCTCTTTGAGAAGTTTGTTTTTCCTCTCTTTCCAGTTGAAAGGTGATTTCTCCTCATTAAATAAAATGGAAACAAAACTGAAATTGAGTGCCTCTACTTTTCATCTTCTGTTAGTATACCATTTCCATCCCCCCACACTCAATACAAGACCCCTTTCTGATTTCAGGTTTCTTTCTTTCCTTTTATTATTATATTTTTCAAAGCCATTTTTAAAATCTCCCATATTTTTGCAAGTTTCTGTTCCACATGGGCTTTAACCTCCTTGACACTGTTCTTAAGACTTTGTGCCATTCTTAAAACAGTACTTAGTATGTATGTTTTCTGTTATCTTTGGCTCATGTCCTTCAAATGTCAGCACTTAACAGGCATTTTTGTCTTCTTTGAAGATTTATGTTTTGAAAGCCTTTCAACCCTATGGAGTTGTACTTTTTTATAAATTATTTTTAGGGCACCTGGGTGGCTCAGTTGGTTAAGTGTCCGGCTCTTGATTTTGGCTCAGGTCATGGACTCAGGATCATGAGATGGAGCCTGCTTAAGATTCTTTCTCTCCCTCTCTCCCTTTCCCCCCAACACATGCTTGCTCTCTCTCAAAAAAATTATTATGATTTATTTTTAGAACTATTTACTGATCATTCACAAGTGGACATTGTCCTTTCATGTTGTTAACTTTCATGATACTAAGTGCTTCAGAATATTAGCAAATGTTACTGGTGCTTTTATTTGGTATGCAAAATTATGGCTGTAGTTTCTTTTTCCTTTGAGCTTTTCTGTGTTTTAAGTTAGCTGCTTACTGTTCCCAATACCAAATTGTATTCCCTAGCTACATATGGAAAGTTTGGCTTCCTTTGTTTGTTTTCATTTCCTGGCCTATATAACTTCAAGCTGTTGATTTCCAATTTTCTTAAAGTTTCAGGTTATAAAAAACCAGACAGTTAGAGAAGCTTCTTTGTCTTTTGTTTTTTCACTATCTGAAAGAGGGTTTGTTTTTATTTTTCCCTTTAGTTGAATTAGGAATATCCAGATACTTTATGTGTTGTGTGTGGGATTAAATCTTAATATCAATATAGATTACCTCTTTCACAAATCAGATTTTCGTATGTTCATGGACTTAACTTTTATTTTTTCCAGTGTGAACTTAAGGTCAGTCTGGGGTTGGAAGGAAAAGAATTAGAGGATGAAAGTTTTTGTTTGGAGTCTTATTTTAGATTGCTTACTACCACTGTTTATCACTGGAGTGGTTAATTGAGAGTAATAGAAAAGCCAGGTAGTGATTTGTTCTTTTGCTTTGCTGATTAAAAAGCAAAATTGAGCATATTACATAGTTATTTAGATAGGGAGAGAAGCCCAAATTTCTACAAAAGTTTTTCTTGATTAAACTCGAAAGGTAATAGTAATAATAATGGATTAGTGTTTTTGTAGTACAGGTCTAATAACACGAAGAATGGCATTCTTTTTGGAGGGATAACATTTTGCGTAATTAGGGTTAAATGTATTACTCATTAAAATGATTGGCAGATATTCATTCATCTAGTGTTACTGACTTGAAGTGAGATTTTCCATATTTCATTTTTTATAATGTCTTCACACATACAGGTACAAGAAAACCTTGGAGATACTGCAGGTTCAGTTCCAGAGTAACATAATCAAGCAAATATTACAACAAAAGTCAAATGAATTTTTTGGTTTCCGAGAGCATGTAAAAGTTACGTTTACGCTGTACTGTAGTCTGTTAAGTGTGCAGTAGCATTATGCCTAAAAAACAATGCATAGCTTAATTTAAAAATGCTTTATTGCTAAAAAGTGCTAACCATCTCCTGAGCTTTCAGTGAGCGGTAATCTTTGCTGGTAGAGTTTCTTGCCTCGATGTTGGCTGCATCTTCTGTATCAGCACTTGCCCTTTCACCTTGCACTTCTTTGTTATGGAGATGGCTTCTTTCCTTAAACCTCATGAACCAACCTTCAGACTTTTCTTGTGCAGCCTCCTTGTCTCTCAGCCTTCATAGAGTTGAGGAGAGTTAGGGCTTGCTCTGGATTAGGCTTTGGCTTAAGGGAATGTTGGAGCTGGCTCAATCTTTTGTCCAGATGACTAAAACTTCTCCGTGTCAGCAAAAAGGCTGTTGAACTTTCTTACCATTCATCTATTCACTAGAGTGAATTTTAATTTTCATTTTCTTCAAGAACTTTTCCTTTGCATCCACAATTTGCCTGTTTGGCACAAGAGGCCTAGCTTATGGCTTATCATGGCTTTTAACATGGCTTCCTCACTAAGCTTGATCATTTCTAGGTTTTGTTTTAAAGTGAGAGCTGTGTGACTTTTCATTTGTACACTTAAAGGCCATTGTAGGCTTATTAATTGGCCTAATTTCAATATTGTGTCTCAGGGAATAGGGAAGCCCAAGAAAATGGGGAGAATCGGGGGAACAGGTGGTTGATGGTGTAGTCAAAACACACACATTTATCTGTTAACTTTGCTGTCCTGTATTGGTATGGTGCATTGTACCCCAAAACAATTCCAACATTAAAGATTACTGATCACAGATCACCATAACAAATATAATAATGATGAAAAGTTGGAAATACTGCAAGAATTAACCAAAATGGGAGGCAGAGATAGGAGCTAGAGATAGAGCTAATGCTGCTAAAGAAATAGCACCAACAGACTTGCTCCATGCCAGGTTGTCACAAACCTTTCAATTTGTTAAAAAACACAGTATCTGTGAAGTGCAACAAAACACAGTATGCCTATATTGCTGTCTAATCAATCCACAAGCATAAATTAATGAAGTATATTTATCCCTTAGAGAAGGCATTTATAGAATTCATTTGATACTTACCTTTTAGCATATCATTACACAGCAGAGTTGTCTGTCACTTTCAGTTGAAGGTTAGGTGGAAGCTCCTCAGATGGACGGTTAAATGGATTTTTTTTTTAATTTTATTTATTTATTTGACAGACAGAGATCACAAGTAGGCAGAGAGGCAGACAGAGAGAGGAGGAAGCAGGCTCCCTGCTGAGCAGAGAGCCCGATGTGGGATTCGATCCCAGGACCCTGAGATCATGAACCCAAGCTGAAGGCAGAGGCTTAACCCACTGAGCCACCCAGGCGCCCCCGGTTAAATGGATTTTGAAATAAGGAAGTGTTCTTTGTACTTGCAATGAGGCCCAAAAAAGTCCTTCTGGAACTGTAATTCGTGCTTAGAAAATAAATCTGCTACAAATTTGTATGGGAACAGAGCTCTCATTTCTTTGATAGCATAAGAAGTGCATGAAGCATCTTGTTTGACATCATGATTCCAGTGTCAGTTGTTGCTGAAATCATTTTAGTGAGTTTTGCATGTCAGCACTGTTAACAAGTAGTGGGGCAAGTTAGGATATTCAGCTTCTTTTTCTGACAAAAAATTCAGAGAGCTGGTGATGGTAAAGTTCACACGAATGAAGTTCACCATTAACACTGCTGGTTCAGCAATATAATAGATTCAAATAGTTTCTACAGGCTACCTGCTGATGCATAATATAAGGAATACCCATAGACTCGAAGCACTTTACATTTTCACAGGCTTCCGAAATTTGTCCAACTTGTCTTTTCTGCTCTACACATACATGTACCACCGTTTCAGTTGTAATGCATCTTAGCAGATTCCACTTCAAACTGTGCTTAGTGTTTTCTCAACTTTGTTAAAACATTACCTGTAGTTGCTCCAAGCAGACTATTTGTAGAGGCTACCTCTGTGGTTACTTCAAACTACTCGAGTAATAAACACTTGACTCCTTGAATAAACAACTGAATAGTATCAGTTACATTTGTCGACTCATCAAGGCCCAAGAAAAACCACTCAATCATTTGCTGTCTCATTTTTCAGTTGATTATGACATCTGAGTATCCTTGAATTTTGAGCAACTCTACTCCCCAAAAAGCTAATAATCTTAAACATCTTTGGACACATTTCTCTAGCTTCTGAAATCAAGTACAGTTTGTTTAATTCACCATCAATAATACAGCTTTTTTTGCTTAGCTAACAAATAAGTCACTTGGAGGCTTACTGTGGTTGAAGCCTTGTTTTTTATTCTTGTGAGAAAATATTTGGTGATGAGATATTTAGTTTCAGATGTTCCGGTTTTTCAGACTACAGCTCTAGCTGTGAGTTGGGAACATGGTGATGAATGCTTGGTCTGATAGTATGAACGTGTATTTTCTTTTAGCACAGTTAAGTAGTGCCCTTGCATAGTGAATTCAGTCTGTTCCTCTCACAACAAAATGACCCATGCCCTCCTGTGCCTTTGAGGGTGACGTTTGAAGTGCACTTTCACTTCATTTGAAATGAGAACGCGTTGGTGATTTCTTAAAATGTCACAGAATGGTGATGTGCACGGCCCTTGAAATGCTGTCAGGTTGCATCACTGCAGCTTAGAAGGCACAGATCTTCACCAGTGCAAAGCAGCGGGAGGGCCACATTCGGTCTCTCACATCTACTTGGCTCTGCCGTTGAGGCAGAACAGCAGTCACAGACAATATGTAAGTGAAGCTGTATGACTGTATCGTAATAAAATTTGGTGAACACTGAAATTTGAATTTCATGTACTTTTTAGACATCACAAAACATCATCTCCCGTTTGTAAAAAAAAACACAAAAAGCGATCTTTAAAAGTGTAAAAAAATCACTCTTAGATCTCAAGGAAAATATAGGCACCAGGGCTGATTTTGGCCCATGGTCCATAGCTTGCTAATTCCTGACCTCCTTTTTTCCTAACATAACAGGGCTTTTTCAGGAGTTTTTCTTCTATGAAATTTTATTCATATGAGGTCTTAAAATTCACATCTTGACCTGCATTCTGGATTTTCACATAATTAAAAGTGTTCTACAGAACACATGCTAACTTTTGTTTTCAAGATTCATCTCCTTTCTCCTTTTAGATTATTTTCCACTTGTTCATCAAGATGGAAAGCTCAGATTCTAACGATAAAGGAAGTGGTGATCAGTCTGCAGCACAGCGCAGAAGTCAGATGGACCGATTGGATCGGGAAGAAGCTTTCTATCAATTTGTAAATAACCTGAGTGAAGAAGATTATAGACTTATGAGGGATAACAATTTGCTAGGCACCCCAGGTATGCGATGTGTAAAGATTTATATATGTAAATTGCTGGTCTTTTTTTTTTCAACTTGTTTTAAAAATCTGTCTCTTCAGCCTTTATGAAGTGTCATTTTAATACAGGGGATGCAGAATGACATTTATTGCTGTACTTATTGCCTCATTCTGTTCACTCCTATTTGGAATTATCCTATATGACATCTTTTAGTTATGATTTACATTGTGAATTTATAGTGAGCTGACTGAAAAAGTGGAACTGAACAATATTTTTGTTTTCACTAGCTTCATTTAATTTACTAGAGATAAATTTAAATGTGGAAGAGCTAATGAGAATGTTGATTCCTAGGACAAGCTTTTTTTTTTGGGGGGGGGGGTCATCTCTGATTCCCAGATTATGTTCCAGTTGTAGTCCTCCAAAGCTGTCCTTGGGTAAATTTGTCAGTTCAGAACTTTGTGTTTGGTTATTCTCTTTTGCCCAGTTAGGTCCCATTTGATCCTAATTAAAATTCATCATCTCTGGTGCTCCTCATTTCTGTTTAATTCTGACCTTTGCGTTATTGTTTAAATTTTGAAAGGTAAGGTGTTAGCATGACTTTTAGAAGAGGGAGTGCGTTTTTAGCCAACAATACCAGACGTGAATCAGAATGCCTGAGTCGGTATTCTGGCCCTGCCATTTATTAATACAGCAGTCTCTCACTTAGTCTCAGTTTCCTTGTTTTAAAATGCAGATGATATCTACCTCCCAGAGTTTCAGTTTGAAAGAATGAGAAATCGCATGCAAAAGCATTAAGTGAACTGGAAAGAAACTTGAATAAATTGCCATGTCATGCCCCCAAAGAAGTAAATTTTACCCACGTTCCTACTCTTTTTGGTTTTCATCTCCGTTTTTATTTGTAATTTGGCACACATTTCTAAACTATTTTCAGGTGAAAGTACTGAGGAAGAGTTGCTGAGAAGACTACAACAAATTAAAGAGGGCCCACCACCACAAAACTCAGATGAAAACAGAGGTATATTTTGCCTTGGGGGGTGGGTAGAGGATGGAACAGATAAGGAACTCCAGGAAAGGTCAGCTGAAGATTATCCAGAAACAGCACGGATTAATTTAGTACTAAGGAAATGTTAACAAAAAGGGAACTGGCATTTTCTTGGTATTTGGTGAGAATGTCAACATGTTTTTTTTTCTGCTTCACCTTTGGGTTTGTATTTAATTGAGACATAGTGAGAAATGGCCTATTTAAATGTGCTGGTTATTTTCTTGATTTTGCACCTCTGCTGAAATTTCCTCCCACCTACCAAATTACTTCTTCCTTATAAGCATGTGCATTCTCCACCAGCGGAAAGAAATGCTGTATTCTCTAACCTGGTGGCTCTCAGTGGGTTATATGCCCACCCCACCCCTGCCCAGGAGACGCTGGCAATGTCTGGAGACATTTTTGGCTATTGCCACAGCTCAGGGTTTGCTACGAGCATCTGGTGCGTGGAGGTCAGGGATCCTGCCAAACATCCTAACATCCTAAAATTCACAGCAGCACAGCCCCTACAACAGAGAATTATCTGGCTCAAAATGGAAATAGCGCCACTGTTGAGAAACCCTGCTTTTAATTTTAAGTAGGATTGTAGGGAATTTGACTGACATAGAGGCTATAATAACAGTTTTTGGTTCTGGAGCATGCCCTTATATGCACCATGCTAGGTTCAAACTATTCATTTTTTATCTGGTCTCGAATTTCATGTTAATTTAAAATCTTGGTAATACGAAGATTTCCTGAAATTCTTTGGAACCAGTAGACCCTGTTTATATTTTTGCAGTGGCTGCAGTAGTCAGTCTTGTATTTTAAAGGTCCTGTATTATCAAAGGCACTTAAGTCAAGATCCTAGAGGAAATGTTGTAGACTAACAAAAATGCAAAAAAAACGTGACTTGAACAAAAATACTAGCCCTGTACCCTAACTAATGTTTACCTTGTTTGGTTAATGTTTTGACAGTGGACTGAAAAATGTCTTCAGACAGCCCACGGTGGTCTCCTAGGCTCTGTATATGATAAAGTTCTGAAAATAGACTTCCTCCAGAATACCTTTTAAAAAAACTTTCTCTGAATTTCTCTAGGATTAGCTTGCTTTTTCAAAATGGAATTGAAACATTCCTGCCTTTACTTGCAAATCTGTGTAGTGTAGTTCACAAAAATCTTTAAATGTGAGGTCTGTTCAGAATCTTTGCTGTTTTTTAACACAGTTTCAGAGCACTGTTACATGATTGTCCTAATTTTAGTAGTTCCTTTTTCTCCCTCTCCCCTCCCTGTTTTAAAAATAGGTGGAGACTCTTCAGATGATGTGTCCAATGGTGACTCTATAATAGACTGGCTTAACTCCGTCAGACAAACTGGAAATACAACAAGAAGTGGTCAAAGAGGAAACCAATCTTGGAGAGCAGTGAGCCGGACTAATCCAAACAGTGGTGATTTCAGATTCAGTTTAGAGATCAACGTTAACCGTAATAATGGGAGCCAAAATCCAGAGAATGAAAATGAGCCATCTGCAAGACGTTCTGGTGGAGAAAATACAGACAACAGCAGCCAAAGGCAAGTGGAAAATCCACGATCTGAATCAACATCTGCAAGGCCATCTAGATCAGAACGAAATTCAACTGAGGCATTAACGGGAGAAGTCGCACCTACCAGAGGTCAGAGAAGGGCAAGAAGCAGGAGCCCAGACCATCGGAGAACCCGAGCGAGAGCTGAAAGAAGTAGGTCACCTCTGCATCCAATGAGTGAAATTCCACGGAGATCTCATCATAGTATCTCATCTCAGACTTTTGAGCATCCTTTGGTAAATGAGACTGAGGGAAGTTCTAGAACCCGACACCATGTGACATTGAGACAGCAAATAAGTGGACCTGATTTGCTAAGTAGAGGTCTTTTTGCAGCTTCTGGAACAAGAAATGCCTCACAAGGAGCAGGTTCTTCAGACACAACCAGCAGTGGTGAATCTGCAGGATCAGGACAGAGACCTCCAACCATAGTCCTTGATCTGCAAGTAAGAAGAGTTCGTCCTGGAGAATACCGTCAGAGAGATAGCATAGCTAGCAGAACTCGGTCAAGGTCTCAGACGCCAAACAATACTGTCACTTATGAAAGTGAACGAGGAGGTTTTAGGCGTACATTTTCACGTTCCGAACGGGCAGGTGTGAGAACCTATGTCAGTACCATCAGAATTCCAATTCGTAGAATCTTAAATACTGGTTTAAGTGAGACCACATCTGTTGCAATTCAGACCATGTTAAGGCAGATAATGACAGGTTTTGGTGAATTAAGCTACTTTATGTACAGTGATAGCGATTCCGAGCCCAGTGGCTCAGTCTCAAGTCGAAATGTGGAAAGGGCAGAGTCACGGAATGGAAGAGGGGGTTCTAGTGGTAGTAGCAGTTCTGGTTCCAGTTCCAGTTCCAGTTCAAGTTCTAGTTCCAGTTCCAGTTCTAGTTCCAGTTCCAGTCCTAGTTCCAGTTCCAGTGGTGAAAGTTCAGAGACTAGCTCAGAGGTGTTTGAAGGCAGTAATGAAGGAAGCTCATCATCAGGCTCATCAGGTGCCAGACGAGAGGGTCGACACAGGGCCCCGGTAACATTTGATGAAAGTGGCTCTTTGCCCTTCCTTAGTCTGGCTCAGTTTTTCCTCTTAAATGAGGATGATGATGACCAACCTAGAGGACTCACCAAAGAACAGATTGACAACTTGGCAATGAGAAGTTTTGGTGAAAACGATGCATTAAAAACCTGTAGTGTTTGCATTACAGAATACACAGAAGGCAACAAACTTCGTAAACTACCTTGTTCCCATGAGTACCATGTCCACTGCATCGATCGCTGGTTGTCTGAGAATTCTACCTGTCCTATTTGTCGCAGAGCAGTGTTAGCTTCTGGTAACAGAGAAAGCGTTGTGTAATTAAGTTCTGAACTCTCAGCTATGTAGCTGGTATAGTGATGGGCAAACAGGAATCACTTGCTTTCTGCCCACTTTTTGAGTGGTGCTTAAATGTAAAGTAGCAACCTGAATTGAGTCATTGCTTTCTGAGTGAATCATTGTCCTTTTTCCAGTTTCTGTTCCAGAATAAAAGGAAATATTTAAAAAGCAATGTTTTAGGACATAAAAATCTGATTTCAGTACCAGTAATTGATATTACTGATGATTTGTCATATATGCTTATCAGTTTCTCCTTTGTTATCTTTAAAGATCTGCCTTAGCAATGGCTCTTTATCCATTTCATTCACATTGATCTTTAACATTTCCCACACCATAGGAGAGGGGCAAAGGAAACTGCCAGTTTAGACTAAGTTACAGTACATGTTTCATAAGTGATTGCTTAAAGCTATACCATTCCCAGTTATTAGTTGGCACAAATTCAGCTAAATGCTGAATATCATTTGTTCACCTTTCAGATGAGGTGATATTGGACGTCAGTGTAAATAACACTAAGGTTAGGATCTTCTAAGTGTAAAACTGTCTCCTAAGCCCATCACTGTGGCACACTGTAGAGTGAGCTTATAGTTTAATTGAGATATTTATCTTGTGGAAATATTAAAAAGCCTATGCTTGTGTAAGTGAAAAATCACATTCATTTGTTTAAAAATGTAAAGCTATTTTGTAGAGGCTCAGTACTTTTCCAATGCACTGTTGTATTAATGCATTAAAAATTGTAAAGTACCATGCTTAGAAATGAAAAAAAAAACTGCTTTTTGTGAGCCAAGATAGTAAACACACATACACACATACACACACACACACACACACACACACCCCAAACAAAGTACAAAGCTGCTTTTTTAAGTGTGTAGATGTCAAGAGCAGAACATATCTAGTATTTAATGTATGTGAACAGCTACTGTGACATGCAAAAGAAAGGACAGTGTGCAGAATTGAGCTGCATTACCAATAGAAACTTGGTATTTTAACTTGGATTTAGGCAGGAAATGAAAGATGGGAGGAGTAAAGAAAACTGCTCTGAAGAATTTTAAATTTTTATGAAGACAGTAATCATACAGACGGGAACTGGTTTCATATGGTGAGGTCCTCGACACAGTATTCTGCTTGAGCTGATGAAGTAGATTAACAAATTTGGTAGTTTTGGTTAAAAACAAAAAACAAACCACTACCACCTAGCACAAGTTACATCGATGTTTTCACAAGTCTGCTCCTCAGAAAAGGAAAAAGGGAAGGTGGAGGAAAGAGACTATAAACCACTTTTAGCATAAGAATTGAAGTTGGTACAGATGTGTGTACTAATAGGAAAGTGTCAAATTTGCGTTCTTTTCGAGATTTGTCATTTAAGGTACCAGTGCACACTTGTTAATACTTCATTACTCTTAACACAGAGCTAACATCTTACATTTAAAGGCCAATTGAAGAATTAAGGGATGTTCATCCTTTGTTGAAAATGAATCATGTTGGGTCATTTGAGATTCACATTTTAATTGTGCTGCCCATGTTTGAAGATGAGGCTGCTGACTCACAGTCTATGGGACATGCGTTTTGTGTTGTTTCCTTAGTTAATGAGATTAGGTTCGTGAAGAACCCCAGTGTACTCATGCTGAATTTCTCTTTTGAGGCCAGTTGGGGTTAGGATTTAGTCTGAATGTGGAGGACTTATTTATCTGGGAGAAGATAGTGGGCCAAAAGAGGAATTGCACACATCCTTGATCTTTAAAGTGAAAACTAACCATGTATAGTCAGATACTGTACAAAATAAACAGGTCTGCTTCAGGAATTATCTGGCTACCTTAACTGTTATCAACTTAGCTGTAAAGGTTATTTCGAAGCTCATTCTTTCATGTTTTCCTCTGGCTTTCACTCCTACCTAAGTATCAAGGAGATTAACTTGTAAATATGGTAGTTGTTTACTAAGGATATGTACTGCTCTTGCAAGTAAATAATGTCCAAACAAAGCTTCACTTATTTTTTTTAATATAACCAGATTTCACTGTTTATGGCGCTTATGTAATACATTTTATCTTTTTAAAAAAATTGTCCATGTAAAAGTCAGGATTCCTTTATATTTGTGAGCCTCCTTGTCTCCTTTCCTAAGGGTGTAATCTACGATTTTTCAGATCTGCAGGGTAGTCCTGATAGGCTAAAAACCCATTTTCCTCTTGGTATAAAACGTCCCATTATAAGGGTGTTCATTTTAAATAGTTGAGAAACAACTGCAGCACATTCTAAGCATAAAAGAAAGTTATTGACAACAGGTACCTCCCTAACCTCCCAAGATGTATTACTCATTTGTGAAGTATTAAAGTAAGAGGTAATTCATGCAGAATGCTGGTTATGAATGTAGATATTGAAGCTATTCATAAACACTGGAAATAGGATTTTAAGTTTTTAGCCTTCAGTAGAATGCACATACTGGACATGTGCATGTGGACACCTTTTTCAATAGCACTCACTGATTCCCATTGGATTGTGTAGAATGGATACAAATATTTTAGTGGAATTTGCTACTTAATTTTTATTTTGTACGAGGTCCATGACTGTATTTATTAGTGTTGTGGACATTGAAGACAAGGTCATTCATAGGTGTCAGGTGTACAGTGGAGAGCAAGAGTTTTTTTTTTCCCCACCAGCATCCAAAACACCTATTCTCTTGAGGCAGCATTTTCTTGCAAAAGACTTTACATTTCATTTTGTATCTTTGCACTTTTTCTTTATTACAGGAAGGTTCTGTCTTGAAGACCTAGTTTGAACTTCATGCAGTTAATAGGAACAAGAAAAAACAATGTTGGGAAATTACATTGTTCAAAGCATAGGGAAAAATACTAAAAACTGAGTTCCTTGAGTATTTCAGATATTTTTTAAAAAATTCACTTACTGGTATGAAGCATTTGAGGTGTTATGTCCGTTTAACTCCAAGCAGCTGACAAGGTTGAGATTTATTAATACTTAAAACTTAATTGAGCAAGTAAGGTTTAAAGTGTGCAGACTTTATAGCAACACTAGAAGATGAGCCATGTTGTTCATTTGGAATATTTGCCCTAAAAAGAACACATTAGTTATACCTCAGTGGTGTTAATGGTTAATGAGGTGGGGATTGAGAGATCACATTAGTGTTGAAAGTGTAGGAAATTATCAGTTGTACAGTTAACAAAGTTTAGTGCTGGGATTTTATATGTGTGGTGATGTGTGTATGTCTACTTGTGCGCACAGGCACGCGTACACACACACACACACACATATGATCTCTAAAAACATGACTGTTGAGTTTATCCAGACTTTAAGATTAGGAAACTGCTTAGCTGTAAGTGTTACCTCAAGTAATTTTTACCCCCCTTGGGAAAACATGTCCTTTCTGTGCCAAGTGTTCTCCTCATGTCAGTGTCTCAGATTGTATTTATGAAGGGTTTTCACTTAATACGTTTCTTTTTAATTTAACCACCTGCTTCCCAAATGTCCATGACTTGAAATGGGTCAAGCGTCAGTCATGACATTGTCGGTTCCCAAAATACCCATGTGATAGGGAGGTGAATGTTGGAAAATGCCTCTTAAAAGGCCATTTTTACTGCTTGCTAGAATACAGTGGCACCTTGTGGTGGTTATTGATACTTTTCTTTTAAAAATGGAGGGTATTCCCCTGCAACCCTTTTATTCTCCTTTGTTCTTTTGTGAACACAAATTATTAGTGATTTGCCTTGGGTTTTTAAAGTTTTACCTTACTGGCTTCCCTATCAGATGTATTACCAATCTTAAGTACATAGAAGCCACATTTGCAGGGCACTTTTATTCTTTTCTTGTAAGACTGTGCTGATTGCTACTTTCTAAAGTATTCTGTACCTTAGTGATGCAAGAGATTGATAAGGCACATAGGAAGGTGTCAGGCATTTTTTTTACCCTTAAGAATAGTAATTCTAAAATATGTTTAATACTCAATAGCCGTGTTGTAATTCATGGAGTTAAATAGTAAATTACATGCTTTTGGAAAACATTCAAAAATGTAAATCAACAAAAATAATATGCTTCATTTGGAAAGTTAAAAGTGCAGGGTCTGAGGAACAAGTATTTCATTTATTTTGAAATTGGATTTTTAGTAAGCAACTAAGAAACAGCTATGAGTTGAGTACTTGCCCTTTAAAAGTTTTAGCATTTTGAATTTGAGTTCTTAACTGGAACATTTCTAAAATACTATAATAGTCCCAGCAGCTGAGTGATCTCATTTGATTTAATAACTCCACTTTGTATTTAAAATACAGCACAGAATAGAGCTGTTATTGAAGTGTTCAAACTTCCAAGGGATTACAGTTTGTATCAGTTTTAGGATTATTTTCATGTCTCTATAGGTGTTTTCATTCGAATTTGAAGGAAACAAACACTCTCAAATACAATTACAGTGAGATAACTAGGTTTTGATTAGGATTTGTTTACTAAAGACCCACAGGCTGCTTTATAGTCACCTGGGTTGAATGATAACTTTAAATATATGAAATGAAAGTGAACCCTACCATACCACTGTGCCTCGTTATTTCAGGGTTCCTCTCAGTTCCTGATCTTGCAGATTTATTCCAATACCAAGGTATGGTTGAACCAGCTGCCCAGCCTTAACTCTATTTAGTGCGCCTCTGTTAACATTCTTTTATCTGATTGATTTGTATGTGTTTTTACTGTCTGATGTTTGGATTTTTACCTCTTGTTAGCTCCATTTGTCCCTGGTGCTGCTTTTAAAGATATAGGGCCATGTGATCAGGTATCAAATTGAGTAGGTACGCAGTTGGCCTGGTTGTGTATCTGTGCCTGTTTTATCTTCTCCCAGGAAGAGCTGCTTTGGTATAGATGTTTACTTGGATTCATATATAAAGAACTGGGCAGCAGTCTTAGAAAGTTTTCTGAAGCCAAAAGAACCTGAAGGGGTTTGGAGGGGGGGTAGTAACAAAAGCTGCCTTTATGTCTTTGAACATGAAGCACATAAATGTATGTTCTGTAAAGACTAAAGTGATTGTTATACCAGGGCTTCCTGACCTCTGGGAGAGACTTTCAAAAAAGCAGAAAGGAGCACAAAGTGAAGTGAATTTGGTCGGCTTGCTTTATCTGGTTTCTCATTTTCTTTCAATTTAAATCTGAACATAACACCCTTCTCCAATATCTACCCAGAAGACTCCTGGTTGGGAAGCCCTGTATTAAATTTTGAGAATGTACCCAGTTTCCTTTTTTTTTTTGTACAGTGCTTTATACCTGCTAAACATTAAATTGTTTAATGCAAAACAAGACCTTGAAAGGTCAGTCATATTAAAGCTGGTTTGATTATTAATAGTTATCTTTTAGGAAGAAGCTTTTTCCCTATGTAAGATGTCATACTGCAGATTTAAAATATAGACTATCAATAAAATGCATGAAGTGATCATTTGTGCTTGATCATCTCTCGGGTTTTTCTTTAAAAAGGGAATCTGATAATGGTTGTTTCCTCCAACCAGTGTCAAATAGACTTGAGTTTTAGAATCAAGTGGAATTCTCATGCAACCTTGATTTTTTTTATTTCCTCACTGTGAGTTTGAGCAGATACTGGTTTATGGTATATAACCCTCATTTTATGTTGTATAGTTTAATGGCTTAATCTTCAAGTGGTAAAATAAAGATTAAGGTATATTCCAATACAAGAATCTTAGAAAGACTTATGTAAATGACATTTTAAGTAGGTGCATCTTTGCTGTTACTTGTATTTTCACCATTGCTCTGCCTACCCTCTTGCTTGACCTCTACAAATACAAAAACTTGTCT